GGAGGAACTGAGGCTTTCTCCCAACAGTGAGCAAGGAACTGGAATTTCCTGTCAATAGCCATGTGAGTAACCCATCTTGGAAGCAACTCCTCCAGGCTCAGTCAGGCCTTTAGGTGACTATACCTCCTGGAACTCTGAGCCACAATAACCCAACTAAAATGCTCCTGGATTCCCAGTTCTCAGAAACAGTGGAAGATGATAATTGTTTTAAGCTGTTAGTTTTGTGATAATTTGTGGTAATTTGTTATAAAGCAATAGATAATATATTCCCACCTTCGGCTCTGCCTTTAGGCCAGTTTTAGCAAGAATCCTGCTGGGTTAATTTGGGGAAAACTCCCCACTATTGATATCTGACCACCCTTGATATTTGATCAAATTCTTTATTCTACAACCTAATGTCATGAATAATTTTTAACATTTCCATGTTTTGTTATTAGAAATTTCTTTCAAATGAGTATTTTCATACTTCTACCTTTTATACGATATTCACTGTGAGGGGACAGATTTCTAGAATTAAAACAGTTCATATTTTTATCAAATATTTTTAATAACCCATGTAGTAATTTGAAAAGAATGTGTGTATATAAAGGCATTTAGTGTTTACCCCCAGTGCATACCCTCAAAGCTCCACGGAAAATTCAATTCACAGTGAACTGTAAATTCAGTCTAAAACATTCAGCCTGCAAACCTTTGGAATCGACTTACTTAAAAAAGTATGTAGAATGAAGACTTCAATAAAAATGAAAATATGCCATCAAAATATTTGGGATTCAGAGCTGTAAACAAACGTAGAAAAGTTTAAATCCTTTATTAAAGAAAAAAAATAAAGCTTTTAAAAGTTCTTTACAAAAAATAAAAAGAACAATGCTAAAGAAAGTAGAGGTGTATAATGAATCAAGACAAAAATAGAGAAAACAAAATTAGTTGGGATAATAAATCAAGGGTTGCTCCTTAGAAAAAGGAAATGAGAAACACTGATAAAACTGTGGCAAATTTAATGAAGGGAAAAGTAAATACATTTAAAAATTAGAAATGCGTAAAGGAATGAGATTCTGAGAAGAAGATAATATTCAACCACAAGTGGAAATATTATTTCAGGAGAGGAAGGTTTCAGGACACCTGGATGGCTCAGTTGGTTAAGCATATGCCTTTGGGTCAGGTCATGATCTCAGGGTCCTGGAATCAAGCCCTGTGCCTAGCTCCCTGCTCAGTGGTAAATCTGCCAGTCCCTCTGCCTCTCCCCCCTCAACGCTTGGGTTCTCTCCCTTGCTCACTCTCTCAAATAAATAAAATGTTTAAAAGAGAGACACACACACACACACACACACACACACACGCACTAAGGTTTCTAATAGAAAGGTTGTGAATCAGGCTCAGCATAACTTTAGGATAGTAAAGAAAATGTAAATGACTGTCTCAATAGAGGTTATAAGTTATCCAATAAAACTAAGCAATTTTCTTTAAAAATTATAAAGGCAGAAATTCATTAAGCAATATGAGCATTACCTTTAATGGTAAAGCATTTCTCACTAAAACCAAGAACAAAAAACTTCATTTACATCTCACTGTTTTGAAGTTCTGCCAATGCAATATGATTAAAAATAAATACAACTGGCAAGAAGGCAAAGAGTGTGCATAATGGTACCAAATAAAAATTAATTTAAACGGGGCGCCTGGGTGGCTCAGTGGGTTAAAGCCTCTGCCTTCGGCTCGAGTCATGATCCCGGGGTCCTGGGATCGAGCCCCGCGTCGGGCTCTCTGCTCAGCGGAGATCCTGCTTCCACCTCTCTCTCTCTGCCTGCCTCTCTGCCTACTTGTGATCTCTGTCTGTCAAATAAATAAATAAAATCTTAAAAAAAATTAACTTAAACTTTACTGGTGAAAAGATAATAAAATGAAACTTTTTTTTTTCAAAAAACTTTATTACTACAATTGCTATTTTACTTACAATTTTTGGCAACATTAACAAAATAATAAATTTCATCTGAAAGAACAAGCAAGCAAAATAGACATGGAAATTCACAAAGGATAATAACAAAATAGTAATCTTGACAGATATTCAATATATTTGTAACAGAACAAAGTGACATCGCCTTAAAAAAATAGAGAGGTATCAATAGAAAAACAGAGAAAGCTCCTGAAAGAACTGAACTCACTGTATTCAGTTTCTTTTGATTACAGGCACAGAAATTGACTCAAGCTAGCTCAATTCTAAGAGAAACAAAGCTTTTGGTGATTATCTCTTCCTAGCTTTTTGTGAAAACCTAGGAAATTTAACCAGATTGGAGAGGAAAAAGGGAGTGGGGAGGCTTAAAGTGCCTGTAAAAGGAGGAGTAAGAAGGTGGAGGGAGATTTCATTGTCAGTATCTTTTAAGAACATTGGTGAAGCTCAATAAACCAAAGGAAGTATCAAACAACTAAGCGAGGTAGCAAGCCATGCAGGCCTAGGAGAAAAGCATTCTAAGAGAAGAGCAGTTGCAAAGTCTTTGGAACAGGAAAAAATGTGATTTGCTTAAAGAAAAGCAAGGCCAGTGTGTCAAAAATAGTGCACCAGTGGGAAAAATGGTTGAGTAGCATGGCAGAGAATGGAAAAGCAAGAGGAGGTAGACAGGGGCCATAACACCAAAACTGTAGTTGGCAATAAATAACAATTTGTACTCCTTAGGGTCATACTTTAGGTAAATAGCAAACAAGAGTTAACAGTGTTGATAATACCAAGCAACCACAAAAAGACAGAACTAAAATATTTCATATTTTCACTGTTTTTAAGACAGAATTTCTGTTATAGGAACAGAATAGGGAGATAAGTATGCAAAAGTCTGCATATCTATTTATACACAAGTTTCCACCTGAGACTAAAACAATGAGCATACACACACACACACACACACTCTCTCTCTCTCTCTCTCTCTCATTCACTCACACATACATACTCTCTCTGTCCACCTAAAGAAATAGGTTCAGGCTAAAATATTAACAAAGTGCCTTGGCCCAAGCAAACTAATAAAAAGGCCTAGTAAAATGTTCAAAGTGCAAATCAATCAATCAAGCATTGAGCAAATAAATACAAGAGAATCTACACTCGGGAAATACTTTAAAACATAGATAATAAACTCACAACTACTTGTTTGTTATCTGTCCTCCTTCCCAATTCTAGAAGGAATCTAAGCTTCTGACGACTATCACTTCCCAGCTTTCCGTGAAAGAAAGCTTAGGTAATTTAACAAGATTGAGGAGGAAGAAAGAAATGGGGAGAGACAATGTACCATTAAAAAAGAGGAGAAAGCAAGGGGAAAAAAATGGAATTTCTCCTTGCTCAGGTATATGGACAACATCCTGGGTTCCTTAAGTCATGTACAGAGGCTTCTCAGTACATGAGTCAAGGTGGAGAAAGAAAGGATGGCACTAGCTACCTGGGAGACTCAGTCCTGGGAACCCAAAGAAACAGCCAAGGGTGATGTTCAGGAACCAATCCTCAGAGAGCACTCTAGTTATGTGAAAGTCCTTGGAAATAGCAAGGGGAAAATGTTCTCCCCCACAGTATAGTCAAGGATTAGACAACTGGATAGATTAGTTGAAGAGCAATAACTCAAAGACCTAATACCTAATGAAATAACTGGACATTTCTTATACACCAGATTGTGTCAAGGACTACTTTAAATTCAACTAGGTTGATAAGGGAAATTATACACACAACATAAAATAGCTGTGAACTATAATACATTCATGTCTAAGGCAAGAAACGAAATTGCAGATTTCACATGTTCAACTGGGCTAAGATACGTGTACATGGGAAACATATAAGGAAAAGCCCTATAATGGGCTTAATTTTACTCAGTCACCATGGGCTGCTTTTACCCACTGTACCTACGATTCTTGGACAACCCCCATTCCAGCTTAATAGTAAGAAAACTAAATTTAGCCTAGTCCTTGAACTAGATAGATACCATTTGTTTGGCCCTTTTCAGTTCAAATTATGGGTCCAGTGCAGTTCAAACTATGGATGGCAGGGCTTCTTTCCCTTGAGAAATTTTACTTGCTTTACTGTTCTAAGAGGTATAAAGCCAGCCAGAAGGGAGAGGGAAGGGAACAAACTGAATTCCCTTTTGGATCACTAAACAGGAGGTTCACTGGCACCAGACCCCATTCTATTCATTACCCCTGCTTTTCCATCTGAAGCCAGCTGATACAGTGATTGTTTCATGTCTGCAGAGATTCCTTGCCAAGTTCCTTGCCAAAATGCGAAGCATTTTAATAGTTTTGCTTCCTTGGATGTTCTTGTGGTAAAAAAAAGACACTCTGAGACAGTATTCCTACTGCCTTGGCTCCAAGACTAGAGTGAATGTGTGTGTGTGTGTGTGTGTGTGTGTGCGCGCGTGCATGTGTGAGCACATGCCCTCAACCAGAATAAGAAGCCACTGGAAGCCACTGCTCTCCAGTGACTAACCTCTCAGTTCAGTTTCTGGTTCCCATTCATGCCACACCTTGTTCCTCAACTTCTCCACACTCAGGGTCTCAGAGTCAGATTACTTTAGATCAGCTCAAGACAGACACTTCTGGGAGCTAAGCAGCAAATGGGACCATGATGTAACAAAGTCATTCAAGTCTGACTAGAGTTAATATTGAAATCTTCAAGGCATGGAAAAAGTTGAAGATGAAATTAAGTACTTAAGAAAAAACTCTATAGGTTCTATATACAGAAATTAGAGATTTTCAAACTTACAAGTAACAGGAAATATCAAAATAATAAATAGGTATCCACTTTCTTCTCTCACACACACACGTACACAAAACATCTTCTATGTGTTAAGCCAGATACAATACATGAAAACCAGGTAACAAATTTTTAAATAACATCTCAAAATTCAGATCAGACAATACTGTATTTCATGAATTTAAAAAAAAACTCATCAATGACTCATTGGTTTCACTATTTTTGATGTTACTAAATAATGTATGGTTTGTATTTTTTTTCTTATTTTATGGCGTTTTTTTTTTTGTTTTTTTTTTTACTTTAATTGAAATACCTGCTTTAGGTTTACTGAAACTAGAATTAACGAGGTTTTTTTGAAATTCTACTTTTAAACTTGGGGGCTGATGGTTCAGAATCAGATGTGCTCACAGTAACAGATGCTACTTCCACAGATCCTGGTTGAAGAGGTCCCAGTGACACCTGAATAACAACCTTTGTTTCAGGGGGCAGTCCCTCTAGTTGCTTAGGCTTTTTAAACATTTGATGACACTGGGTCTTGTGCTCCATTTTCTCCTTGAAAGTTAAAAACTGTAGCCGGCATTTGGAACACTGGTGAACACTCTTTTCCCAGTGTCCCCTATAATGACACATGTACGGTGTTGCAGTTTTGAAAATTTTGAGACAGAATGGACAGAGCAAATTCTTAGTGTTTTCATGGCATTTTCTGAAATGTGTTTCCACATCACCAAAGGCTGATGATCTGTAATTGCAAACCTGGCACACATAGGGCATTTCGCCAGGCTTATGATTGTCCTTCATGTGCTGTAAGAGAACCTGATCTGTTTTGAATGACAATTCACAAATTTTACAGACAGCCGAAGGCTCCTGGGTAGTGTGTACACTTTCAATGTGACATTGCAGCTCGAAGGGAGTGGGAAACTGTCGGTGGCAGTGCTGGCAGGTGGTGTGGCTTTCCCAGCTGTCACCCCTCTGCTTCTCAAGTTCCAGATGGTGCTTCATGTGATTCATAAACTTGACATTTTTTAGAATTTTCAAGCAGCTGAGGCATTTAAAGGTTGTGTGAGTCTTCTGTTCTGGCTGACCATCTCCTTTATGTTGCCCATAATAAAAGTCATGAAGTAATATGACCAGACTTCCTTTCTTGGGATCAACAACCTGGTTTTGACTCACTAGACTCAAGTCTGTTTTTGCCGGTCTATTTTCCTTTACAGGATTTATAGGCTTAAAATGGACACAGTCCTTTGGAAAAGGTGTTGCAAAAGGTGCTCCATTCTGAACCATGGCTCCATGGCTCCATTCTAAGTCATGTCCATTCTGAACATGGTTTAATGAGGTATGAACACTGTTTGAGTCTGTGCTTTGCTGTGAAGTCACTGTATGAAAGTTACCTGAAGGGGACAAAGCTGAAGCATGTCCCTCTATGATTCCATCGCTGAGTTTAGGCCTTTTGGGATTTATATCATTTACTTCAGCAGTGGAAAGTTGCTTTGATATGCAAGGACTTTTATTCATATCTCCTACAGAAAGTGCTTCTCCTACTGGATGCTGTAATGAATTTGTGAATGTAATCAAAGGAGAACATAACTCCAAACAGCTATTAGGCACAATTTGTGAATTATTTTTAAAATCAGGTTTAGACAAAGGCTCAATAATAATGGGACTATCTGTTGATCTTGATTCAGATTCAGAAACTGGCAAGGCAGTGACTGCTTCTGATACAGAGGTCACATGGCTTATAGGCGGTAATTTGTGAGTAGTACCTTTTCTGAGGTGACCATACTTTTTTCTCCTTGAACATGAACCTGGGGTGACTCTGTTCAAAATGTTTGAAACAACTGGCTTTGAATTTGAAGTCACCCCAACAAATATCAGCTCAGCGTCGTCATTTACATGTTCCACCCCAACAAAGATGAGCTCAGCATCTTCATCATCTACTTTTTTGGTTTCTTCTGTGTTCTGCTGTGGGTCTGGCTCTTGCTCTTCCTCACATAACATACATGGCTGTTCCATTTTCTATTTTTTTTTTTTATTCTTGAAGGTGTGGCCACAGTCCCAGTGCTTTCTTTATATAAACTGCCACCTAAGTACAAACACACTACACATCAGTAAGTACAGAAAAATGCATTATCTTATTTAATTCTGTGCAAAACTTTTATAAGACTACTAGAATTCACAGAGGATAAATGACAGCTTAAAGCCTACTATTATAAGTCTGTGCAACTCTAGAATCATGCCTTTGCCTTAAGCTGATTACAATTTCTTCTATTAAAAAAAAAGAGGAAAAAACTATTGACTAATCACTAGGTGAAATCATATGTAAAGGATATATTATTTTACAAAGGCACCATTGTTCAGTGTTTAGACACATGGGCTTTGGGGTCAGAGAAGATTAAGCTGGAATTCTAAGTCAGCCACAAACCAGCTGCATCTTCTTTGGCAAGTTCAAAACTTCTAAATGTGTTTTATCTTAAAGGCGAAACCTCTTACTTCTTAGACTTAAGGTAACAGTTCTTTTTCAAAAACCACCAAGAATTCAACAGTACCTTATTTTGTAGCTGAATTAAAGAAAATTTTATAGTAAATGTACATATCTCAATTGATTCATAATTTCATAAATATTAATATAGAAAAGAAGAGTCAAATTCAAAGAACAGAGTAAGAGTACCTAACAACTGTCAACAAACAGCATACTTCAATGTCAAGTGCTTAGCACATGCCTAGCAAATTGAGAACAAACTCTCTTGATAATCTCACACCAACTCAAGGCCTTCATTATAGTCCACTGTCTCCTAAATTTCTCCTTCTAATCCTGACTTTCCCACTTAAATCCAACAGAACTGCCTCCCTCAGCCCACCCCTGTCTCATTTCCACATGGCAGGCAAAGTAATTCTGTCAAATCACATATCACTGCTCAGCTCAAAACCCTCCAATGGCTTTCTCATTCACTCAGTAAAAGGCCAAGTGCTTCTAATATCTTCAGTCCTGTTAGACCATGCTGCCAAGCCTACATACTGCCTTGCAGCATGTCCTGCTCCTCCCCCATCCACTTCATTCTAACCAAACTGTCTTACAATTCCTTGAACACATTAATCACTTTACTGGCTTAGAGCCCTGTATTTGCTGTCCTTCTAATATGAATGCTCACCATCCAGATACCTGCAGAGGTGAATCCTCACCATCTTCAGACTTCTGTTGCAAGTATTCTCAAAGAAGTTCTCAAATACTCCAAACAACTGCTAATTCACATTGCCAATCTCTCTTCCCTTCCCCTCAACCTTCAAGTCCTTATCACCACCTAACACATTATAAACTTTATCTACTTGATTATTTTCTACTGTCTATCCAGTAAAAGTAAACTTCAAAGGACAGAGATTATCTTTTGTTGACTGCTGTATCCCTAGCACAAAGAGTGCCTGGCACAATATGGGAGCTCAACAAATAAAGAATCTGTTAATAGTATGAATTAACAGTAACTTTCATTAATAAGAATATGTATTTGTAGAATAGACTGTACTCCTTTAATTCTGTATTTTCTATGATTTACTTAGAACCTTGTCCATATCAGATATTCTGTAGGTCTATGAAGGATTAAAAGCCTCTAGCTTTTTAAAACATTTTTATCACAACCATACTAAAAACAACAACATATAATATGAAATCTCACTATATAAACATATAAATAACAATTGCTTCACTACATGGATACTTACTCTAATCAATTATGACTCATCAATGGCTCACTACTAAAGGTTTGAAAAACATTTGTTTTAGGCTAGCAAGATGTAGGTACTTTAAATTATGGATCATAACTCACCAGTTTCTGAACACCTAACATCAGAATTCATTGTAACCCCATATAGACCCTTCAAACCCCATCTATAAAAATTAAAGTGGCATCAAATACGTGCCATGTACCGCAAATTCGTTTAATTAGCATATCAGCATATAATTTGGGAACACATAGATATTTAATCCTGAGAGGTATACCAACTTCAAAGTAAGTCAAAAAAGAAATTTTTTGAAAATAAGAAAAGTTGGGGCCCCTGGGTAGCTTAGTGGGTTAAAGCCTCTGCCTTCAGCTCAGGTCATGATCTCAGAGTCCTGGGATCCAGCCCCATATCGGGTTCTCTGCTCAGTAGCGAGCCTGCTTCCCTTCCTCTCTCTGTCTGCCTTTCTGACTGCTTGTGATCTCTCTCTGTCAAATAAACAAAATCTTAAAAAAAAAAAAATAAGAAAAGCTATTTCTTATTTTCATCACTTGTTTCACAATTATAATTTGCTTGGCCAACAATGGTATGATACTACCAAGCACTAAGTAGAAAGTGGTGAATGCATGAAGTTTACAGTCTAGTGTGCCATGAAGAGTGATTGACAACCTTCTTAAAACTAAGATCAAGTACATAATTAGGAGATATGTAATGCAAGAAAACATACAAGGCATATCTGAAAACACTGTTCTTTAAGAGTCACAGAAATTGGTTCCATCTGTCTATATACAACTTCATCATCTAACTCCAGGATGATGTCACCTAGTCCACTGTTTCCCACCATAAGCACCACAGACATGTCTGGACCAGATAATTCTTTGTTCTAGGGGGGTGGTGCTGGGTGCATTTAGGATTTGTAGCAGTATCCCTGACCTCTACTTAGGAGATGCTAGAAGAATTCCCCTACATGTGCCATCAAAAAATGTTCTATGGGAGAACTTCTACCCTAATCTAATCTCCTGAGTATCAACTTCCACATTTCTAGTAACTGTCTTCTAGGTAATTCTACATGATGCTCTAATACCCCTCTCAAGAAATAATTCTAAATTGACATTATTAATATTCTGGGGCACCTGGACAGCTCAGTGGGTTAAGCCTCTGCCTTAGACTCAGGTCATGATCTCAGGGTCCAGGATTGAGCCACACATTGGGCTCCCTGCTCAGCAGGGAGCCTGGTCCCCCCTTTTTCTCTCTGCCCACCTCTCTGCCTACTTGTGATCTCTGTTAAATAAATAAACAAAATATTTTTTAAAAAAGAAATGATAAATATTATCCCTGATATCATAAAAATCAGAATAAAATTTAAAATGTGGGAGTTAAAAAGTAAAAAATTTAAATAAAAAATAGAATAAAATCTAATTTGACAATTAATATGACTATCAGAATTATCTGAGGATAGACTTTTAAAGCCTAGAAAAATTTATGATTCACCTAAAGTTACATGTAAGGTCTGGAGACAGAGTTTACACTAAAATTCATGATTCCTGAATTCTAGTTCTGTGTTCTTCCCACTATTCTGACTTAATGAAAATCTAAATTTCTGGTGATGGTGCTATTAAGTTCTTAGTCTCAAAGGATCAGAGTCATATTGGACTCAATTTTAATCTCCTCGTATTTTATAAAAACTGTTCAAACCTCCCCCAACCTCTATCAAATTATTCACAGAAACTTATTAGTGGTTCTAAATAACTTTTTAGAGCATTAGTCATTCTAACTACCTTACATTTCCATTCCTATTAAAGCTCCTCTCTCCAATTTCTAGGTTTGAGTCCACCTGTTACTTCATGTTTGTACATCTGTACTAGGCTTCAAATTATCTCATCTCTATCCTTCAAATTATCACCAACTGCATACCACCACTAGATATTTTTTTTCACTAGATGAATCTTAAAACACCTCTGTAATTATATCATTCCACTATTCCTACACGTTAAATGACTCCCCCAATTTTAAAGAATACATTTTAAGTTATGCTATGGACCAAATTGTGTCCCTTCAAAATACGTATGTTGAAGCCCTAACTCCCAGTATGATAGTATCTGGAGATGAAACTTTGGGAAACTTTGGGTTCCCACCTAGTTAGATTTAGATAAATTCATGAGAGTGGAACCCTCATGATGAGATTAGTACCAAAAAGAGATATCAGAGAGCTTGCTTCTTCTCTGTCTCCCACCTACTATGTGAAGACACAGTGAGAATGTGGCAGTCTACAGGTCTGAAGGAAGCAAGGCAAATCAGCTAGCACCTTGATCTTGAATTTTCCAGCCTCCAAAACTATGGGAACAAATTCTGTTGTTAAAAAAGAATAAAAATAAACTGGGCTCCAGGAACATTGTAGGACTTTTTACCCACCTGATCTTGGTGGGTAAAAAGGCACAAGCAGGAGAAGTGGCAGGTAGGGGAGAAGCAGACTCGATGCTGAGCAAGGAGGCCGATGTGGGGCTGGATCCCAGAACCCTGGGATCATGACCTGAGCAGAAGGCAGCTGCTTAACCAACTAAGCCACCCAGGAACCCCTTAGTAGAATTTTATAGCTGTTGACCATACCAATTAACTTTAGGTCGATGTGAGGCTGGATCCCAGGACCCTGAGATCATGACTTGAGCCAAAGGCAGAAGCTTAACGCTCTGAGCCACCCAGGTGCCCCGGATCATGGGAATTTTCTTATCACTTCTCTTTTGGTACCTTTATTTTCTACAATTTACCAGAACCTCAAGATACCTGGGGTCATGAGGTTGGAAACATGTCAAAGACTTAGTAGATCTAAGGAGTTAATCTTCAATACCACTTCATATCCCCTATCAATGAAACTGCCAAGGGCTGTGGAAGGAGTTAATGAGATTTCATGCCAAAGATAGCTAAGATGGCAGGGGATGATAGTTCATCTCCCAGGTTATTCCTATGCATTTAAACAACAGCCTTCTTCATAGGGCTTTTTTTTTTTTTTAATAAACATATAATGTATTTTTATCCCCAGGGGTACAGGTCTGTGAATCACCAGGTTTACACACTTCACAGCACTCACCATAGCATATACCCTCCCCAGTGTCCATAACCCCATCCCCCACTCTCAACCCCCCTCCCCCCAGCAACCCTCAGTTGGTTTTGTGAGATTAAGAGTTACTTATGGTTTGTCTCCCTCCCGATCCCATCTTGTTTCATTTATTCTTCTCCTATTCCCCTAACCCCTTCATGGGGCTTTTTTATAGCTACACACCAGCTTTTATTCAGGCATCAGTCTTTCTTGAGTAGCTTCCTGAAAGCAGGCTAACCGGACTCCTTTGATATCTATCCTCACAGTCTTCCCTTGAC